ATTGGTACAATCGTCTCACGAAAAGCATAAGCATTACAAGAGGAAAACTTTGAAGGTGATTGAAGTTAAGTCAAAAGCAACGTTTCCTTTCATAGAACCATTCTTAGAAATTATCAAACCTCGTATATATAATATATAACATTATATCGTTTTCTCGAAAGGGTTTACAAGCAATGAATACCGATTTACTCCGACGATGCTAAGCGAAGGTCTAAAGTTCAAAAGAATTTTTTTTATTTTGCTTTCTTGCTTGGCACTTTTTGTGGTTTGCTGGGGCGGGGAGTGATGGGTGCTTAAGGGCAAATGTTAACTCAATTTACTTACATTGTCTGTTTAGGAGAACAGCGTTCCACAATTCCTGAATTTCAGCTCTCTCATTTTGAGAAAAATAGTAACGAACATGAGAACATGGTGGATGTTATGTTAGATAGATAGATAGATAGATAGATAGATAGATAGATAGATAGATAGATAGATAGATAGATGTGAATAAATTGAGATAAAAAAGATAGATAGTTGGGAATAGAGATAGATGTGAACAGATAGATAGATAGATAGATGTGAACAGAGTGAGATAGATGAGAACAGACATAGATAGATAGATAGATAGATAGATAGATAGATAGATAGATAGATGTGAACAAACTGAGATAAAAAAGATAGATAGTTGGGAATATAGATAGATAGATAGATAGATAGATAGATAGATAGATAGATAGATAGACGTGAACAGACTGAGTTAGATGAGAACAGACATAGATAGATAGATAGATAGATAGATAGATAGATAGATAGATAGATAGATAGATAGATAGATAGATAGATGTGACCGAACTGAGATAAAAAAAGATAGATAGATAGTTGTGAATAGAGATAGATAGATAGATAGATAGATAGATAGATAGATAGATAGATGTGAACAGACTGAGATGGATGAGAACAGACATAGATAGATAGATAGATAGATAGATAGATAGATAGATAGATAGATAGATAGATAGATGTGAACAAACTGAGATAAAAAAGATAGATAGATAGTTGTGAATAGAGATAGATGTGAACAGATAGATAGATAGATAGATAGATAGATAGATAGATAGATAGATAGATAGATTCAGAGTGTGATGGGTAAATGGTCATCTAAATTACACAAAAACGAAAATAGCACTGACATCTTATTTTAACATATATATTTATCAAAGTTAGCAAAATCTATCTTGAAATACTAAAGAGTAAATTTATTCAATAAAAATCACCATTGGCTTCAACCAGGACCTCCAGACGACTTCGGAATCTCATGCAACTCTTCTGAACGGTCTTCTCTTCTGCGTTGTTGAATGCTGCCATAATCCTTGCCTTCAGTTCATCTTTGGTGTTACAAGGAGCTTTGTTAGTCACTCGCTAAACTGCGCCTCACACATAATAATCAAGGATGTTTTAGTCTGGGGAGTTAAGTGACTGGATGTAAGAGGAGATGTGGCCGTAGAAATTGTCTGACAACAAAGACTCGGTTCTCATGCTTGTGTAGCTTGGTGCAGAGTCCTGTTACCAGCAACCATCCTCTTGATCTCAGGGTGTCTGGAACTAGCAAAAAATGAACATATCCAGATAATAAGGTAGCGATATAGGTGCACTAGAAGATGTTCAAGAAGCAAAAAAA